CTTTTCGGTATTATTTTGGGCAAACACCGCATAACCGGGATAGCAGGTTATCCGGTAGCGGTAGAAACAGAATTCGGTTATGTTGTCATGGGTAAAATTCCAGTCTTGTCCAGAATTGAAAATCCTTCGGTATATTTTTCTATGCAAGAAGAGCACTCTATTGAACAGCTATTAACAAAATTTTGGGAAGTAGAGAAGGTACCAAATAAACCTTTATTAATACCTGAGGAAACAGAGTGCGAAAACATTTATAGGTCGACCTATAGTAGGGATGACACAGGGCGGTACACAGTGGCGTTACCTTTCAAAATTTCACCGGAAAGTTTGGGTGACTCGAGGACACATGCCTACTTTCGTTTGATTTCTTTAGAAAAACGGTTAGCTAAAGATCCAAAACTACGTGTCGATTATAATGCTGCAATGCAAACTTTCTTAGACAATGGTCATATGGCCTTAGTGGAAATGAAAAATAATAATGATAATGAGTTGGCTTATTATATGGCACACCATCCAGTTATTAAATTAAGCAGTACTAGTACACCGGTCAGAATCGTACTAGATGCGAGCGCCCCTTGTGATAATCATGTATCATTAAATGATATTTTATTCAGCGGCCCTAAATTACAAGCGGATATAGTTTCTTTACTTCTGAATTTTCGGTTATTTCGGATTGCTATGACGTCGGATTTGAAGAAAATGTATTTGCAAATAAAACTTGTTCCGGAACATTGGCGGTACCAAAGATTACTATGGCGGTTCAAACCTGAGGATGAAATCCAGATATATGAAATACGGGTAGTGGCATTCGGATTAAAGGCGTCACCATATTTAGCGTTACGGACTGTAAAACAGTTAGTTGAAGAAGAAAGGGGTGCATTTCCTATGGCGGCAGAATTTGTTACACGCGATTTGTATATGGATGATTATTGTTGTAGTATAGATTCGGAAACGGACGCCCTCCAGTTATATTACGAATCGGTCGATTTATTCAAGTCAGGTGGTTTTGACTTAGTTCAGTGGTCTTCAAACTCGGCATCGGTATTGGAAAATATTCCCGCAAAAAGAAGGGCATCGGATTCGGTGATTTTCAAAACGGATACAAAAATTTTGGGCATTCAGTGGGATCCAGAAAAGGATATCTTTAGTTTCACGGTTATGATACCAGAGCCAAAATGCACGAAACGTGCGATTTTGTCAGCGACAGCTCAATGTTTTGACCCAATGGGGCTGTTAGCACCGTTTATTTTATATTTGAAGGCCTTGATCAAGGAGCTTTGGCTCTTAAAGCTCGGCTGGGATGATGAACCCCCTGAAAATATCATCAAAAAATGGCATACCGTACGTTCACAATGGGGGGAACTTATAAAATTCAAAGTTCCACGGCATATAGGAGCGAACACCAAACAACCAGTGATCATTTTGGCATTTGCGGACGCAAGTACCGTCGGATACGGAGGGGTAGTATATTTGAGAACAGTGTCATCTTTCGGAAAAGACGACATCAATGTTCAACTAGTTTGTGCTAAATCCAAAGTCACTCCTGCCAAAGTAATGACTATTCCCCGACTTGAACTTCTCGCTAGTCATTTGTTGTCTAAATTGGTAAAGTTGGTTGTAGAGACATATCAGGATCGCGTTTTGATTTCCAAAATTCATGCATTTTCAGATTCTTCTACCGTGATCAGTTGGTTGAAGACACCCTATTTGAAGGATATTTTCGTCGCAAATCGGATTACTCAAATAAAAGATTATGTAAAAAATGCGTTATGGCATCATATTGATGGTAGTCAGAACCCTGCAGATGCTTTATCGCGTGGTCTCACCCCCTCGCAATTAGTTTGTAATTCCTCATGGATCAACGGACCATCATGGATTGGTTGTCCAGAAAATGAGTGGCCTGATTTTTCGGATAATGAGGTTGATATTTGTAATGAAAATGGAGAGTTAGAAACCCTAATTGTTCATAATGAAGACATCCGCGATCCCTTTTTAAGTCTCATGGAGCGGTTTTCGACATTTTCAAAAATTTTGCGGATTACGGTTTATGTTCTACGGTTCTGCAAAATACTACCTAGAAGAACATGTATAATTTCAGCTACCGAATTAAGAAAGGCTGAAACAATCTTAGTCAGATCAGTACAAAACAGACATTTCAATTCCGAAATTGTTCTTTTGAATGCGAATAAAAAATGTACTTCTAATTTGAAAAGACTCGATCCTTTTGTTCAGGATGGATTACTCAGGGTCGGGGGTAGAATAGGGAATTCTAATTTGGGATTTACCAAAAAACATCCCGTTATTCTACCGGCTAAAGACGTTTTCACGGAAAGACTCGTTGATTTTTATCATAAAATATTTTTACACACTGGTGCGTATTTGTTAGAAGCCATTTTACGTCAAAAATATTGGCTATATGGTGGAAGAAACTTAATCAGGAGTCGTATTCATAAATGCAACCGTTGTTTTCGGCTGAATCCTAAAATTTTAGAACCATTAATGGGTAATTTACCACCAGTTCGGGTACAAGAAGCTAAGGCTTTCACTAACACTGGGGTGGATTATTTCGGCCCGGTTAAAATTTCTTTGGGTAAGCGGAAAAATGCCTTTGTGTATAAAGGTTATGTGAGCCTGTTTGTATGTATGTCGGTCAAAGCGATTCATTTAGAGCTGGTAAGCTCTTTGTCGACCGATCATTTTTTACAAGCGTTTAAACGCTTCATCTCGCGTAGAGGGCCTGTTCGTGCCCTATATTCGGATAGAGGAACCAATTTTGTAGGCGCCAAATCGGTTCTTACTGATATTAATAATCTCATCAATTCTCCAGAATATATAAGTGCTTTTGAGACTGAACTTGGCGTTCATGGAATCGACTGGCATTTCAATAGTCCTTCCGCACCTGAGCAAGGAGGGTTGTGGGAAAGCAATGTCAAAGCAGTTAAACATCATATTTATCGGGTTGTTGGAGACCAGTTACTAACCTACGAGGAATTTTCAACACTCTTAACGGAAATAGAAGCTTTATTAAATTCACGGCCTTTGTGCCAGTTGAAAGCGGACCCAACTGCACCAGAAGCTTTAACCCCAGCACATTTCCTAACATTGACACCCTTACGTGGGTTTCCATCCGAAAATGTTGAGGATATCCCTCTCAATCGATTAGACAGGTTTCAGTTAGTCGACCGAATGGTTCAAGGGTTTTGGAATCGTTGGAGGTTGGAATATTTAACAAGTTTACAAATTCGTAAAAAATGGAATAACCATCCCCCTAATATCACGGTAGGTACCGTCGTGATTTTGAAGACGGAAAATGCACCACCATTGCATTGGCCATTAGCTATAGTGATCGCGGTGCACCCGGGTAAAGACGGAATCGTACGCAATGTAACTTTAAAAACGAGCAAGGGAACCTTTACGCGACCAGTGGTGAAGTTATGTCCCCTGCCATCACAGTAGGAACTTAGTCTTGTTTGAGGGGAATGTACTAGAATGTCTTTTTTTTTCTTTTTTTTTTTCTTCTCATTATAGTTTGTTTTTTGCTCAACTTGAAGATAAGTTGAACGATCTAGACTATAAGATCTGGGTTATGGGTATGTTTATTTTAATTTAATTAATTTTACAACCGTGGTAACTGTTATTTTAAGTTAGGCAAGTGACTCTGAAAAGAAAATGGTTTTCAGGGTCGGGGGTATGTTCTGTTCTATAATGAAGTTACTATAATTCGAGAAAAAGTTTGAACACAATTCGGCAACGTAGCATTTTTACACACCTGAGAAAAATCAGAAGTTAGTAGAGAGTACATAGGTAGTACCTACACATCGGTGTGTATAGTTCGGTCGATATAAAGAACTTTTCCAAAAACTAAACGACAGGGTTTCGGCCAGCTGGTCCTTTTCGAGCAAATTGATAGTGTAATCACCCAAATTTGTAATCCTGTTTTCCCTTTCCTCCCAAAAACCCTGTTTTTCCGAGTGAAAAAAGAACCGGACCATAAGAGAGTCAACTACCAAAAAACCGGTGAGTACAAAAATTGATGTTACGAAGGAACAGTATTGTATTGTATTGTATTGTATTGTATTGTATTGTATTGTATTGTAAACTCTGCCATGGCTGTAATTCTCTGTAGGTGTAGTTCAGGATGCGTAAACGTGCTTCTTTTCAAATCCTCGTCGCCAAACTATTGTATATGTAGTATGAATTCTTCCATGAGAATAAAAATCCAATTCGGATCTCAATAATTTTATTACATAACTGTAACTATCGTATAATATACATAACAACCGATGCTCCTTTTATCTTCCAGTTCTCATGTCATAATATACATCTAGAAATCCCTATTTTATACAGGATGTGAAAAACATGTAACACATTGACTGGAATTTTGTTCTGAATACCTTTGTAAATTCATTGTCAGAAAATATTTTTAAAATGGTAGTATCGAGCCTATCTATTGTATTCATATTAAGTGTTTTACTTCAAAGTTTGCAAGTTTAAGTAGGATTTCTTCAATCAGAAAAACAAATTATTCAAATATAGGTGATGTGAGGTAGAGGTGCTTGATGCGTTACAAAAATGTCGAATAATATTTATTACAATTACATTTTCAATCTGTTTTTTATAGCGAAGCAGAATTAATCATAACTTCGACTTTCGATACAATTTTACTCTTAGTATTTTAATAGTGAAATCTTAGGCTCAGTGTAACACTCTGGGGCATATCATATATATAATCAACTATATTGAAATAATACTAATTTTTGAACATCCTGCGTATATTTTTTCAGTTCTGTCACTTGGTTAAGAGGTAATTTAAGTGAGTATGATGGTGTGCTGTTGTTGAGCAGGTAAGACGGTAGGTATAAGCTGGTATAAGTATATGTATTTATAGTGTAGGTCTCAATTTTTCTTCCAGAACTGGTTCGTACCTACCTACATAAAAACTGAAGTAGGTAGCTTCTTTAGCAAGACTTGTTTTACAAATAATAATCGTAAAATTATATTACCTGAGCATTTTCGCGGAGTTCCAGATGCCATTCCACAGGTAGCCAGCCGTCCAATAAGAGACTTGGTCTTGTTTTGTTGTTTGGTCAGTTTTGTTTTCAATCTTCCTCTAGAGATGCGCCGTCACTGCAATTGAATATTATTAACATGGACACTATACCTTGTATTTATATTCATCAAACTATCTGTGGAATTCACTCAAACAGGAGCGATTATACTCTTGCCTCAGATATCGAGAGATCAGATCGAGATCAGCTAACCAAATAGTCTTAACCCCGTTACAGAGGTTAACAAAATCGGAATCAAATTCCATTAATTTGAAGCTTTACATTAAGTTAAGTTCAGAGTTGCCTTCCTTGAATAATAGAGATCTCCAAACTAAACTGAAAATTTCTCATAGAAAATTGTTTTTATAGTGTGTCTGGATTTCTAAATTCCCGATGATTGTTCTCAAATCTCTTTACATCTTCAGTCTGCGTTGTTTTTGGAAAAAGGATTGTTTGTAGACCTTCTTGTTTATTGGTGGAAAATTGTTTCAAATTCAATAATTTACTTGTATTCTAAGTCCCTTATGTTAAATATGTTAATATTAATGATTGTTTTTATACCATATTGCTATTTTGTGAAAAAATTCGACGTGCTGCTCGACGTGCTGTAAACATTTGTGCAAAATAGCCAAATAAATCTCTATCTATCATTGTAAAGACATAATGTGTAATATAGAATGGTGTATTCTTCTACTGTCCTTTCTTTGTTGATTGTCGCAACAAGATTCTCCTATTTAAAAACATTATTTTATCTTTGTTTGTGGCAATCCAAGGTGATGAGTTACAATGTTTTCTTCAATTCTTCCTATCAAGAACACGAAATGCGTGAATTCAGACGATCGGCGCGTTATGCGTTATACAGGGTGTTTCAAAAAAACCTGACCCCCTTGCTAGGGTAGGTAGAACACTGCAAAATAAGTTGGGTTTGCTCAGTGAAAAAATGTCGTAACGGCATCCGTTTTCATTATACAAGGTGTTGAAAAAATGATTTTTTTGCACTTTTTTCACGATTATGTCGAAACTAGTGGCAACATTGGGATGAAATTTGGTACGGATGTTTTTGGAAATCTGACACATCGCGTGAATTTGTTTTTGTATCTGACTCTCAAAGAGGGTGCTAGTTACACGGTTCGTACCGAGCAGTTTAGGAAATAACTTTTTTGAGGTTAAATTTTTCAATCCAAATATGATATGAACTTGAACTTCATTCAATTTTACACCAAAGAGGAACTCTTGGTGAAACTCGATACCATGTTCCGTTTTCGGAATATTTCGATTTGAAAATAATGGAGTAGTGATGATGCTGGTATGAAATGAATTTTATTGAGTTCAATTACCTATTTATTCAGATTCAAAAACAATGAAATTATTCTTGTGCCAAAGTTATTGATGGAACAAAGAATCATTAGTAGAAAATTGAGAGATATTCGACTACAAACATGAAATATTGAATCAGTTAGAATGTGTGTTCAAAATGTCCTACGTTTCGACGAATACACGATTCTAATTTCTTTTCTTAAGATTGTATTATTCTTCTAAACAGTTGAGGATCAGCTGTTAGGTCATTTAAGTGATGTTCAATTATGTCTCACAACTCTTGACGTAAATTTACCTATGTAGCTTACTAGCTTAGACTTTCTGCTCAAGATATAACAAAACTGTGTAATCCATGTTCTTAGTGAAATCTGTTTTGATGTTATTCTTGTGATTCATTGTTAAATCAATAAGTTTAGAATTAGAAATGTATTGTTGTTTTCGGTTTTCAATGAATAGGTGATAAATTTTCATGATACTCGCTCTAATAAGTCTAATACATAGCTTTATACCAGCAACAGTTATCATTTCATCATTTTCAAATCGAAATACTCCGAAAACGGAACACAGTATCGAGTTTTACCAGGAGTACCTTTTTGGTGTGAAATTGAATGATGTTCAAGTTCACATCAAATTTGGATTGAAGAATCTAACCTCAAAAAAGGTATGTTCAAAACTACTCGGTACGAACCGTGTAACTAGAGCCCTCTATGAGAGTCAGATATAAAAACAAATGCATGCGATGTGTCAGATTCCAAGAAACATCCATACAAAATTTCATCACAATGTTGCCAGTAGTTTCGACATGATCTTAAAAAATGTGTAAAAAAATCATTTTTTCAAAAAAACCTTGTATCTTGATAACGGATGCCGTAACGAAATTTTTTTACTGAGTAAACCCAACTTATTTAAAAGTGTTCTACCTACCCTAGTAAGGGGGTCAGGTTTTTTCGAAACACCCTGTATATACCTTCAGGCTCGAAAGGGTTATTCCAATATACGTGTTATGAGGACAAACCAGATGGTTTACCCCGAAATGTGCGACTGTGTTTAAAAATGTTTTCTTTCAGAGAGCCTGAAAGAAAAATTCATTCGCTCGTCAGGTACAGATTTTATACTCTCAGTAACTTCAAGAGAAGACTGAAGCTTATTATTTTTCTTGCACAATAAAATCTGTCCATGTCATCTTGATTCTCTTCTGGTCATCTAACGTGCCACATTACTTTTTGCCTATTGTTTATTTTATTGTTTTCGCTAAAAAATATCTACCAAATAATTAATTGTTTCTTTCGGTTCATTTCCTTCGGGTTGAGTTGAAAAACAGCATTATGCTGATACTTTGCCTATTCGTCATTGCAGTTGAGTCTGAATTTGTATAATATTTTGTTATTTTGTTTATTGTTGTTCTGCAAATGATGAATAAAGACCTATTATTACTATATTATTATATAGATATAGATATAGATAAAGTCTGAACATGAAAATGGCAAATTCAAGATTATTTAATGAAAACATCCTGTAACTCATTTGTTCGCTAACGATCACCAGTTGTTACTGAGAAGTGTGTAATGCCTGAGATATTTTCGAGAACAATATTTTCCATTTTCATGTTAAAAACGGGAGCAGATTCGTTCCCAAAAAGTCCAAAGCTAAGTGAAAATCTGATATTTTTTCTATATACCTATATATCTCTTCTCCAAACCATTTTTTCAATACAAAGTGATGTCACTGACAAGCGAATGAATTTTTGTTTTAGGCTCTCTGATGGAAAATGTTTTTAAATGCAGTGACATCTTGGGGCAAACTATCTAGTTTGTTCACACTACAGGTATATTGAAATAATACTCATATTTCTATTTTATAAAAACGAGGAGAGGAAATCCCAACAAATCTGGAATAATGAATATATCTGTATACCTTTTTTGATCGCCATGAACGTCATATTTTTTTTTAGAAATTAGTGTTCTTGCCTGTTGAACTAATTTACATTGTAGACATGATATGTAATAAAGAGCGTATTCTTTTTTTATAATGTTCGAAGCACATTGTGCGTTGGTATTGGTACAGCAAAATTATCTCCTACGGAAACATCATTTTATCTTTGTTTGTTCGGCAATCCAAGAAGTGTTACAACTTTTTTTTTATTTACTCATTAATCTTTTCGAGGCTTCATCGGCATTTCGATTCTCGTAGGTACCTACTTTTTTCAAATTCCTACTTTTTCCTTAGTCAATATCATACTTAGCGCCATAGTGATCTTTTTAGTTTTCAGAATTTCGAAAATTTCGAGATTTTTCAGATTTTCATCTAAAAAAAAGAACTTTCATTCATATAGTTGAATAAAAGTGGTGCCGCCTGCATTTCACAGGTTGTTTTTGTGAACGGCATTTATAGATAATAATAGATATGACTGTGGATAATTCGATATGTGTTTGTAGGTCTATGAAAACAGAAATAGATAATTCAGAAAACAATTTTGTTGAGTCCAACAAACTTTAAAGAATCTTGCAGTTGTTGACAAAATATATTCCTATTGATTTCTAAATCAAAGAATAAATTCCATTCTCTTTTGCCATGTTAAGAGGAACGATTTCGAAAAAAATAAGAGAGACAAGATTAATTTATTTTCCCGTTTCAATATCAACCGCTGTTCCTTGGTCTTGATCTTTGGTTTCGTATATCTAAGAGTAAGCTCGATTAGATATGTTATCAATCAATATCAGCAAATCTATAGAAATATTATCTTCCTTTGGTTTGGCTCATCATGAATTATCACAAAGTTCGAAATCAGTACATAATATGTATTACAAATTTATTATCGAAAGAGATCATTGAAATCCCTAATCTTGGAATATATAAAAAAAACAAAATGTTTAGAAATATACGAAGAAACATCTCAGAACTTCGAAAAAAATCTCGACTTTTTTTGTGATCTGATAAAAAATAAACTGATTATGGCGCTGATATATACGCCGTCGCAATAGTATGATTTGCCACATTCTATAAACTGTAAGCCATTTCATGTAGGTATAGGTACATATACAGGGAGTCAGTTTTTTGTAGCAGGACTTCAACAGGTTAAAGGAGACTGTTATATTATGGTCATAGTTCAATAAACACGAGCACAAATGACGTGGACAAGGGTTACACTTGCTCACAACTCGGCTGCCTGCCGAATACTACTATATGAGCCAGTCTTCACACACGTCTATCATAGGCTCTGACCTAAGCACATTCCACTGAGCATTAGCGCATCTAGTTGCTAGATGCTAACAAAGACATTTTCTTTTTCAAGATGGAAATCTACTATAAACATATGTAAATGCGTGGGAACTTCGTTTCCGATATACATGGTTTCAAAGTTTGCACGGTCCCAAAAATGTAATACCCTATAGGTATTCAAGGACGCTCGATAGCCCCGAATATTGCGTTTCCAAAGTGTGATAAGTGTACCAAATTTCAATTCAATATTTCCCTCGCTATAGACTAAAAAAATAAGAAAATATTAGTTTGAATTTATCCCTATTCAATCAGCTACCTATGACCGCGAAGTTGTTCAGTGCTTCTAAATTCAAAAATACGATCGAGTCGTTTTTATTCTCAAAAATGCTTCTACAGTGTTCAAGAATATTTGGATGCAAAGATGTCTTTTGATATACTTATTGAGTCGCTTACTCACGAATTGTGATCTCAACTTATTTTATTTTGTCAAATGTAAGTTTTATACTAAACTGTTTTTGGCACCTTCATCCATGAATGATTTAA